GGCGGGGGCCGGGCCGAGTCCCCCGGAGCTGTTGCCACTGATGAATGTCGTAGTTCGGTAATTTAAATGTTTATTTATTTTTAATGGAAGAATTTTGATTGAAAAGAAGCTAATGGACATGTAATTGTCAGTGAAATTTCTTATTTGCAAGAAAAATGAACATTTTGTATTTAACTCAACTATAATTGCACATTTTAAAAATAAACTTGACATTTGAGAAAAAAAAAACTGCCCTTCTCTTGAGACGTGAACTAGCTCTCCCAGAGTCGGGGCTGGGGGCGGGGGGCCGCAGCCCTGCTCCTCTGGGCCCTGGACGTGACCCTGAAACTCTAGCTGCAGCCTCAGGGAACAGCCAGGCGAGGCAGTAAGATGATCCTGGGCTGTGCGGGCAGCCCCCCTGCGCCCCCGGGCACGGGCACCCCCCTTTGTCCAGCATTCCCAGGCCTTGCCTGGCAGCTTGCCATCTCAGGCCCTGAGCTGACTTGATTTGCCGGCCCCCACATTTCCTTGGGGGGCCTTCGTAGCCACCCGTGTCTGTGGAGCCCCGGCCAAGGTCCGTCCCCTCCTAGCGGGCGGGTTTCCCGGACCACCACCCTCGGGTTTGGGGGGAGGGGAGGGCCTGGACCCCCCAGCCCTGTGCGAGTTGGTGCCGCCCACCGCATGGCACCCTGGAGCCCTACTGAGTACTCATTGGGGTGCTGCCGGGGGCCGGGCGGGGGCACCTGAGAGCTGGGGGAAGCTGTGCTGGGTGCAGGCGGCGGGGAGAGAGCTGGGCCTCAGGGCAGCAGTAGCCGTTGACCCCTTCTGTGGAGGCCCGAGGGGAGGCCGAGGGCCACGGCCGAACCCGCCCAACCCGGCGCTGCTTGCAGTTCAGAGGACGATGGCACCCCGCTTGCTGCGAATCCCCTCGCCGCGGGGGGCCCGAGATCGGGGTGGAGCCTCCTCTCGCTCCCTCCGCCCCGACGAGGGCGGGGGCGGGGCAGGCGGGGCGGGGATGTGGAAAGGTCGCGGAGAGGCGGCCGGAGGGGAGG